TTATTCCCAGGCTGTAGGCAGAGATCTCAACTGAAAGCCATGGGTGTTCACTAAGGTCTCCTCATTCTACCTGGCCTCACCTCTAACCTCCTTCTCAGCACAGTGCAGCCTCTGAAATCTCTGCTCAGCTCTCCAGCTTCCCAGCAATCATTCTCTGCTAGGAATATATTGAGTCTCTTCCTGGGCAAGCACTTGAGGAGTTGGCCAAAGAATGAAGGGGAATTTTTGGCAGCTTTCTAGGGCTTCTTTGCAACTTCCCTCTCTCAGGGACCTTGCTTGCACAAATCCAAGCCACCTTGACAACTCTAAATTGTAATCTGTACCTTTTCTACCCAGAGGGACTGTCGTTCTCTACTTGGGCTTTATATCTCTATAGTTTGAGAAAATTCTCTCAACAAGACAGCTGGAGTGAATGTTAGCTAATGGGCTCTACTTTCAAGGGTTGTAGACACTCATTGGTTACTAAGACTTGCAAAGAATATTTTTACATGTAGTTTTCCAGATTTAATGGTTATATATGGTGAGTGGGTGATATCAGCTACTCTGTCTTGGCTGAAATCAGTATACTCCATAAAAATTATAATTCTAATAGCTATTATTATTGAGTATTTATTAGGTGTCAGTGATTTCCATATCTTATCTGATTTAGTCCCTACAAAAAATCTGTGTGATAGATAACATTGCTGCCCCAGTTTTAGATGAAAAAACTGAGAACTATAAAACTTTAATAATTTGCTCAAAGATTACTTGAAAATTGTCAAAGCCAGTGTATGAATACCCACAATCTGACTGTAGAGCCTGTGTCCTTATCAAATGCATAATTTATTAAATGAATATTATATTTTATCAAGAAATATACAAATGGGCTAGTGCACACAAATAAATTACCTTTGTAGGGGCCGGCCCCGTGGCGTAGCCGTTATGTGCCACACTCGGCTGCTGGCAGCCCCGGGTTTGATCCCGGGCGAGCACCAACACATTGCTTGTCTGACCATGCTGCAGCGGCGTCCCATATAAAGTGGAGGAAGATGCGCATGGATGTTAACCCAGGGCCAGTCTTCCTTAGCAAAAAAAGAGGAGGATTGGCATGGATGTTAGGTCAGGGCTGAGCTTCCTCACAAAAAATAAATAAATAAATAAATAAATAAATTACCTTTGTAACTCAGGTTCTGTAATTATGGCACATAAGCATTTTTAAAATCAAGAAAAATATTTTTAAGTTAAACACATGCTTACTTTTTTTGAAAAAATACTACACTTTAATTTTTATATTTACTGAAAAATTGAGAAGAGAGTACAAAGTTCCCATATGCCCTGTATCCACTTTCCCCTATTACTAACAACTGAAGTCCATAGTTTATTCAAATTTCCTTGGTTTTACCTAATGTATTTTTATTCCAGGATACCACATTCCTTCTAGTTGTCATGTGTCCTCCTCTTGGCTGTGACAGTTTCTCCAATTTCCTTTGTGTTTGATGAACTTGACATTTTGAGGAGTTCTGGTCTGATATATTGCAAGATGCCCCTCCATTGGAATTCATCTGATTGTTTTCTCATGATTAGACTGGGGTTATGGGTTTTGGAGAGGAAAACCACAGAGGTGAATGCCATTCTCATCACATCATATCAAGAGTGTATACTATCAACATGATTTTTCAGTGTTCGTGTTGACCTTGCTTACTTAGTTTTAACATTATATAATAAAAGTTTTTATTATATAATATTTTATTATTTTTATTATATATTATATAATATTTGGAACACACAAGGGAATATATGTATGTACATATACATAAATATGTGTGAATGATACTAAAATGACCACCTATAATACCCCTTTGCTCTTCACCATCCTCAAGGATTAAAAACACTGTTTTGCATATCCACTGGCAGCAAGAAATCCTTTTTAAACATCTGAGTTTGCTTTTTTTAACTCATGTTATCAATAATTTTACAGAAATATAGAGTTTTGAGGTGAGTTTGGAATCTGTAAATTGTTTGAATATCTGATCTTTGCACATACTAGAAATATTTTGAGTATATGTCTGTCTCACCATCTTCTTTAATCAGTTTTTAGATTTCCATATTTTTCAGAGATAAGTCAATTGATTGAGCTCAGGCAGAAAGGGCAAACAAATATTCGGTGGAATAACACAAGTTCTTCTCACTAAATTCTAATCTTTCCAAATGGTGCCTATAAAAAGTTGCAGAAGTAAATTAATCCTTAAGAGAACATTCTTACTTAAATTCTTTATTAACTAAAGATATGTAAGTTATGGAGCTAGCAAAATGAGCATAGATGGTTTATTCTAAGATATAAAAATGTGATTTTTTTCTAGCCCTAGGATCTTAAACAGATTTCCCCCCCTTCGTTTCTTCATTTGTTACTGTGCTGCTTTCATTATGACAAGTATTAGCTGGTTTCAAAGAGGCTCTACAGAGAGGGTTTTTCTGTTTATTTTTGAAGGGGAAACCTTAATTATCATCATCTGTTGTACGTCTCAATTTAATAAATGAGTCTTGGGAATAGATGTGTATTATAAACCCTGCAACACTGTAATTAATTAATCATTAAGTACAAATATCTATAGTTGGTTTGTATTTTGTTCAATTTTAGAATACTTATTTCTGTGTTTATGAATGGTGTGTCATGAATGATATCTACTCCCTTTTAAGTGAATCATATTTTAGGCCCCAACATATTTGGCTTTAGAATGATTTGTGTATGTGATTTAAGTCTCGTGATATCCTGGAAACCAGTACAGAATTTGAAATCCAGTATCGAAATGTCATTAAAACCCATTTGCAAGAAGCAAAGTAGCCACCATTTAGCCACTTGTGCATCTTCCTCAGCTCTACCCCTTAGAATAGGATCAGGGAAGTTGATGGAAAACAGTAGCTTAAGCTGAGGTGGTCTCTCACCATCATCCTCATAGATGAGAAACCCAAGGCCTGGGCTGGTGGAGGCCTGGTGGTCATGGAATGCCTTGATTATATTCTTCTTGAATAGGCTTCTGGCTAAATATGCAAATAGAAGTGAACTGAGTAACCAAATAGTGGTCATTGTTAACAAATGAGTTAAACCGAAAAGGTGATGATACCTCTACCATAGTCAGAGCCTCCTTTTCTTTGAATTTGTTATAATTTGTGGAGTGCTACCATGTGTTAGGCATTGAACTAAGTGTTCCATATTCAAAGATAAAATGAAAAATTCTTTACACCAAGAGACATCATCTGGTGGAATAGATGGTCAACTGAAAAGACTATTTTAGAATTCAAAAGACACTTTTAGAATTCAGTGTGCTAGAGGAATTCACAGCTGTGGAAACATAGATTCACCTCACCCAAACTGGGCTGGAGGATAGGAGTCAGGGTAGATTTCAAGAGTCACTGATACCTAGGTTGAACCACAAAGAGTAACTAGGGTCAGCTAATCTAGGAAGAGAGTGGGAAAGCTTTTCTGGCAAAGGGTTAGCTGGTGCAAAGGGATGAAATCATGCTTAGAAAAATGACTGTTTGGGCAATCTTAAACAGTTTCACGTGGCTTAGAGAATTGAGTGATTTTAAGGGAATGGCAAGAAGAGGCTGGAAGGAGAAAAGACTCTTTTCATTACCGGGTAAAGGGTTCAGACTTGATCCTGAAGGTTATAGGTAGGCTTCAAAGGATTTTAGGCAGGATAGTGATATGATCAGATCTATATTTTAAAATAAATATTTTGACTGCTGTGTGGGAAATAGGGTAGAACAGGACAAGACTTCAGAGAGACTGTTTATGGATTGTTCCAGTAACTCAGGACAGAGGTGTTATGCTGGCAATGGCAGTGTGAGTGGAGCATATGGATTCAAGAATCGTTAAGGAGGTAGAAGCAATAGGTCGTAATGATATATTGAACATTGGGATAAGACATTAAGGATGATGCCAAAGTTTAGAGATTGGTTATCAGATCCGTTTTTTTGAACATAGCACAATTCATAACACAGAGACCTTAAAGCTGTTAGCTCTATTTCCACTTTCCTTTTCTCTTCATATTATCATCCCCTCATACCTTCAAGAAGTCCAAATAATTAGAATAAACATATTTTCATAGGCAATATGATTTCAAAGACAAAACCACATTTTAGTAACTTGTAAGATAACTCATTTCACAAATTTGCCTGATCCTAAACTTGACAAACAACAAGCACGTTTTTTTTCCCCACACCAGTACTCACAGTTTATAACAAAGTCTGTTGTTGGAGAACACTCAGAAGGGGATGAAGAAAAGGCTTGCATCATCGGTGAAATATTCACACTTTAGTGAAGAGCCAAAGTTGCTCAGATATTGGATTAAGGGAAAATCATCTTTTGTTTCATACTGTTAGCATTTGAAATTATGTCAGTGTTTTTCTTGGTATCTTCAGCAAATATTTTTTGTCTATAATGAAAAGTGCTTGCAAAAGCATTTCTCCTTTATTTGGGGGACCAAGTCCATGCCAGTGGCTATGGTCTGAGTTCTATAGAATGCTGAGGCCAGAGAGCACTGGACCTTGAAAAGTGGCTCCTTGAACTCATAGAAACAGAGTAGAATGGTGGTTGCCATGAGGGGTGGAGAAAATGGGGAGATGTTGGTCAAAGGGTACAAACGTCCAGTTATATGATGAATAAGTTCTGGGAATTTAATGTACAGCATGGTGATTATAGTTAACAATATTGTATTATACACTTGAAAGTTGCTAAAAGAGTGGATCTTAAATGTTCTCACCCCCTTCCTCCACAATGGTAACTATATGAGGTGATGGCTGTGATAACTAACCTTATTGTAATAATGGTTTCACAATATATATGTATATCATATCAATGCATTGTACACCTTAAACTTACACAATGTTATGTGTAATATCTCTATAAAGCTGGGGCGAAAAAGTTAAGAATAAATAAATTTTTTAAAAAAGAAAAGTAACTTCTTGTTCAATTTAATGTGTGACATCTTTCTAAAATAATTACTGTTTTTTCTTTTCAGGATAAGCAGAAGCTACAGGAAAGTTTAAGGCAAGGTGCCGCTATTATTGCCACCTTAATCAAAGAAAGAAATCCTGGACTTGTTGGTCAGCTATTGATAGCGTGAAGAACACAGAAAATTACCTACTGAATTTTTAGAAATGTTTACCTACGTATCTCTTTTGTGCTTCCCTCCCTATTGTATGTGGTAGAATATTTAAGTTTTGTTATATCTCATAATTTGTAGATGTGACGCTTGGGTTATAAAAGTGGATCAATGCTTATATCTGTGAAATAAAAATTTACTTTTGTGCATGTCAAATATAAATTGCCTGAATCAGAAAATGATAAGTGGAAAATAATACCCTTCACATAATCTTTTCACAGAGGCATGAAAGATCAAACAGAAATGATAATGGGTGAGCTAATCCTCCAAGGAATGAGAATTTAGAAAGCTTCAACTATTATCTCTGCGTTAGTTAGTAAATCACCCTATAATGAACCTAATAGAGAGGATTCAGGATTATTCCTGATTCTAAAATTGTCCTCTTGTGATGTGATATTTTGACTTGTATTCTAATTTTCTACACCATAAAGAAAAAAAAACAGGAGCTAACAGGGAACTCTGGTTCAGATATCTTCACCATTGGCCTCACATTGCTCTAGATCCCTAAAGCAGATGTCATTTCCTCCTGCTTTTTACTATTTTAAAATTGTATGTTTTCCTTGGTTGATGAAATATAAAATTTTGACTTACTTAAAAGGTCTCTGATTTTTCTGAATAAATTTAAAGGACTAGAAAGCTTCATAAAAGTGAAATTATTTTTGTCAATCCCACGTCTTCTTCTAAAAGGCAGGAGTCAATGCACCTCCAAGAATTAAGTTAATTCTTCTTTTGATACAGACACTGCTGTGTTTTTAAATCAAGTTCTTATTCTTTCAAATTTCCACTGGTGTATACATCTTAAATATTGATGATTTTCTCTTATATTACATTTTACAATATGTACATCCAGTCATTAGAGATGCCTTTTATTGTATATATATACATTGACCTTATAAAAGCACATTTGATGAGATTCTTCCAGGGCTTAGGCTGCATGTGGAAACTATAAAAGTTGCATGAAATGTTTTCAGTTAAAGGTAGACTTTGCAATATCTACCTTGTGCAATTTCTTCTTAACACGCTGGATGATTTTACCTATATTTCTCAAGTATTTACATTAATAAAAGAGTTTATATTTTACATTTAAGTAATAGTAGAATATAATGGACATGGAGTAATTATTGCATTCATTCTCTTAAATGTGTTGTTTGAATGTAGGCTTAGATCTAAATTTCTGGGCTTGCCATTTTTTCTCTCTATCCAGGGATGTTAAGAATATAAAATAAATCATTTAATTCGAAATCTTGAGTATGAAAATACATGGGCAATGTGTGGATTTTTGTTAGAATGTTTATGTCGTTGTCAAGGGGAGTTGGCTGTGTTGTGAAAGATCCACACAGCGCGCCTGTTGAAGTCTTCAGGTGAAAATGTTTTAAGATTTGAAAGTGCTCATAAAGGTAAAAGGGAAAATGTTATCGAGGTTTTAAAGAGGGTGAGTGCTTTTAAGTGCACGGTAGGAAACAGGGCATATCCATGGCACAGCAAAATCACTGTGTCTATTGAGTGCTGGCTGAGTTACCTTCGATTTCAACTTAATAATGGAATGTTATGCCAAACTAGAATTTATCCTGGAGCAACTAGTATGACTTTCCTAGGTGATTGGAAACATTTAGTGTAATGAGGTTTAGTTAATAAAATATTAAATTGTGAAATCATCATCATCATAGCATTTGATTTTTTTCTTTATAGTCTGCAAAGTGATTCACAGCATTGAAAATAATTTAAAGAAATCTCCCCACATCCTTTACTGTTTAGATGGAAATTGAGGCTCAGAGACCCTTAACTACCTTGCCACCCAAAGCCATGTGGCTACCTAGTAACAAAAGGCAGGGCTTAAACTCAGGACCACTGAGAATATGGTCAAGCTCCTCTCCCTGTGTAACCATGATTGCTGGCAAACGACATCCAGCAGAGAGGCTGTGGGGAAAGAGCCGGAGGCCCTAATGAGAACTGGAGGAACTGAGGCCAGAGGGAAGCCCTTGAAGCTTTTAGCTTTCCGATCCTCTTTCCAACATACAGAAACTGTAGCTGGGGGTGAAGAGAATGGAGAGAATTATTGGCCAAGAGAGAAAGATAAGTTGGTTGTTTTAGCTATTTGTTAAGAAGAGATTCAGAGGCAACTTGACAGTTACATTTTCATCTCTGCTTCTGTAAACTTAATTACCTTCATGAGAACTGTCCCTTTGCATTTTATTTTCCAAAATTTCTTTAAAAATAATAGTAATGATGCCTCAGAGTTGCTGAAATTGCTTTGTACCTGTGGAAATTTTGTGGAAAGACTTTCTTTCTAAACGTATGCTACTAAATTAAATGCAATTTAAAGTTAGCCTTTTTTAGGATTTTAACACAGTGTGACCAAGCGTTTGATTAATGACTTATATTGGTAAGAGGTAGTTTTTTTGTGTGCCATAAAAGTGGTCAATTTGAGAAATGATTTGTTGTAAACATACTCTTCTATAGATAAGAGTCAGACCCCTATATTCCACTCAGGCCCATTCTTATTTTGGTCACTTTAAGCATTTTGCATTGGTTTAACAGGAAAACTCTCTTTTCCCATGCTCGTTTATTATAACTATCAAATTTTACTTTATATATAAATATAATATTCATTTTATAAAAATCAAGTTGCAATAGAACATTTTCTTGTGTTAAATCTGTAAATTTAACTTCCTTTTAATGTTGAAACTATGTCAAGGAAGCATAAATCATAATATTTAAATTAAAATGTTAAGAAAGCCATTTGGAAAAAACAGTGAAGATATTTTAAAAGTTTAATTAAAAAATAAACAATAAATGAAAAGTACATTCTGTTTATTTATTAATATGGTTTAAAATAAGTAGAAATGGCTAGGTAAGTGGTGTTTGGCATTGTAACACTTATATGTGTTCTTGTACATTTTTAGTTTCAAAATTGTGAAAATGTATAGATATATTTCTGGGGATATTTCATAAATGAAAAGTAACAAACTTATTAAAGATTCTAAATATATTTCCTTTACAAAACAAAATATAAGTAATTGATGAATAACTAAATTGCTATTTTCAAATCTAATGGCAATTTTCATTGATATTTAGTGTATATGTTTTTTTAAGCTAACTCATTCTCAATTGAATAAATATAACATTTATTCTCAAAATATACCGATGTGATGTTTTACCTTATAGAAAGATAGCATTTGAGATCCAGATATATTATTCTGTAAAATTTATTAAAAAATTGCAAAACCAGAAGTGCCAATTAAATTTTTTCTTCTTTCCCTCATATTTAGCAGGTTTCCTAGTAGTTGTAGTGGCTGTTAAGGATATAAAGGCTCTACTCAGGCATGGTGGAAAAGAATATTGTGATCACTTAATGTCTTCATGGGTGTGGAGGGTTGAATTATTGTTCAGAAGTATTCTTTCCCTCCACTGGCTTCCATGGGAGGAATATACGTCCACCTCTTGACTCGGAGATTCGTCATGGGACTTGCTTTAACCAATAGAGAGAGTCAGAAGTGGCAGTGCTCCACTGAGATTTGACTTCAGAGACCTAGCACGTTGTGGCTTGCTGTCTTCCACGTCTGCCACCACCATGAGAGGAACATGCCCAGCCTGGTCTGTTGTCTCCAGAAGGAAAACAGGCCCAGATCAGCTGATCTCCAGCTAATCCACAAATGGAGGAACAAGCCTGGCTGAGATCAGCAGGGGCACCTAGCCCAGTTCATTGTTCTCCAGCAGACAGGTGAGCTAAATAGATGCTCACAGTTTTTGGCTAGTACTGAGTTTTGAATCTTCATTGCACGTCAACTGATAACCAAGGAAAGATCTGTGGCAGTGTGTTATATATTTGCCCTCACAAGTCTGGGATGTATGTGGAGAGGCACATTTTGTTAAAGCAGAATGCTTAGGAGGAGAAATGTTGGTCAGAGCGATGGTCCCAAAGTACTAAAAGGTTCTGAGAATGCCTACTTCCCTATTCAAAAATTACTAAAGGAGAAAAATAGACCTGTTTTAGAAAAGTTTTCAAAAGAGGTTAAACTTTCTTGGGCCTGAAATGATATGGAGTTAAAATATGGGCATGTAAAATAATAGGTAATAAAAATAGCTAACATTTATTAAATGATTACTGTGTCCCAGAAACTGATCTTAGTGCTTTACATGTACATGATGTTTTTATTCTTCATGATAACTTTATGTGCTAGGTAGTATACCAATCACTGTTTAAAAAGTGAGGAAACCAAGGCACGTACATTTTGAGTAACTTATTCAGAGTCACCCAAGCAGCAAGTAGGAGAAGAGAGATTCAAATTTGGTTATCTAACTTTAGAGTTTATATTCCTAAGCATGATGCTATACAATATTACAAAACATACTATTTTAAGATCCCTTAAAGAATAACTCTCAAGGACGGGGATCTCAAATATTTTTTTTTTTTAATAGCAAGATAAAGAAAATGGGTAAATCCTGTTACCTTTCAGTGTTTCTGTATTCTTTGTTTCCTTTGCCCATCACCACCCCCAATACGCAAACGTATTTTGGAACATACTTGGATCTGCATGTGCCAGTAAAACTACAAAGACTGATACCCATATACAGTTGTTATCAATGCCATCTCTGTGAGCTCTCCAGTTGTAAGGATTTCCTCCAGCAATGAATGAGCAGATATACTTGGATAACAAAAGTGTAAGATGAAAAAGTAGAAGCAAGTACTTTCTTAATGAACCAGAGTTGCATATAGCCATTTGTGCCTCAGCAACACAACAAGACATCAAAAGAGAAGTTAAAGTCCATTCACCATCTTTACAAGAGAAAGGAAAGTCTAGAGAAATGCCCAGGCATGAGGAAGTATGAGGTCTCCCCTTGCTATGAGACTCTTCTAAACACGTGTGTCCATAATGTTTGCTCAATGGGAAAATTTTGGGGTGAATGGTATAATGAGCTTAGCCTGAGTGGAGCCAGACTGTTTTTCTTTTCCCATCTGAAATATTGGAATCTTTGATTTTTAAAAATGTCTTCACAACTGAAATGCATTATGCAAATTTATTCTCTACTTAGCGAGGATGCTACCAAA